AGCTGACTGTGCTCGCGATGCTGATGATAACGTCGTTTTCTTGCTCACCCCTGTTTGTCCATTTCGGTCGTTTCAATTTTAGGAGAATTATTCATATTGTATCTTTTTGATCGGCACTGACACACAATAACCACCACCACCAGCGTGAGCAGCAGTGTCACAAGACTGGACACCACCACACATACAATCAACATTGTTGGCGCTGTCACTGATTTTTCAACCTCCTCGTTTCCACAAACCAGTTCAGTTTCATCAACTTGCCAGAAATTCCGTCCCCTTAACTTAGTGGGTTCTTGACACTCGATGGCGTCTGCGAGAAAGATGGGGTGTCTGGACCATGTTTCGCGTAGTTTTAACATGACGCAGTCACATCGCCAGGGATTGTCAAAGCTGATAACCTCAAGGTCAGGGTTCGGATTAGAATAAATCTCCAACATCGCTGCCGTGGTGTGGTTAATGTATGATAGATTGTTATTATTCAGTTCCAGTAACCTTGTCTTTGACATGTCGCCGATTTTAGAATTCTCAAGTTTATTTATGTTATTATGTGCGAATCTGGAAAATGATGGAAATGAAATGAGAGGTAGTTGTAAGAGTCGATTATACGACACGTCTAAGTCACGTAAACTGGTGAACACGTCGAAGAACCCTGGGGGAAAGTTAACGATGCGATTATGACTGAGATCTAGCGTTTCTATAGGCAGGGTTTCGCTGGAACTGTTGGTACCAGAGAATGCATCGAAATCCATTAATGTATTCTGAATAGAGTTGTGGGCTAAAGACAATTCATTCAATCCCACCATTCCCAAGAACAGCGACATGTCCACATCCATCAGTTTGTTATGCGATACATCCAGAGTTTCCACGTGGACTAAGCCTTCAAACGCATTAGGCTGTATTTCGGTAATATGGTTATATGACAAACGCAACTCGATTAAAATATGTAAATATTGAAATTCTCTAGAATGTAGCTTAGTTAGGTTGTTATGAGTGAACCATGCATAGTGAATAACTTCACTGGCCAAGGTCCGAGAATTGGACCAGGGAACAACAGAGACCAATCTGTGCCGCACCGCGGAAGACGGACTCGGACCCACTGCAGATTCCGACAACAGCGAGTCTTGGACGCCATGGGAGGATCCGTTAGGAATAAATTTTAACTGCCTTCCTCTGCAATCCAAGTAAAACTCGTCATCGTGACCATAGTTACCAAGAGCACATGCGCAGTAATCCCAACATCCTGCCTGTACGCAATGTAGCATTAAAACTGACGTCATCAAATACAGCATACATTTCGTGTATGCCTTATTCATGGTATGGTATTTAATGGTATCTGCAATGAAAACAACACAAATCACATTAACGTAAAATGAACAATGTTTTGGCTGCAAATACAATAGTATTCGTTTGATGAAATACTCAAAACAGGAGTTTGTAATTACATGTACGTACAGATAATTCCAGGGCGCATGCGCATTAAAGTTTTCAGTATTTTATCGAACGAATACTGGTATTTAAAAGCGCTCAAAGTTGTTCACATTATATTTTTAATGTTAATTTAGAAATGTATACGATAAAGGAAGTAGAATGAAGATTGTGCGATATTAAATGATCGGATAATCTAAGGTATTTTGCAATCTGAGATAACAACTAAAATTGATTACAGAGAACTATATCAATATTGGTAGCAAAGACCACAATACAAATGTGATCAAAACGAGGCATTTCTTTTGTTTGAAATAGTAGGTTATTGTGTTTAATGCCAGAAGGGACTAGGACATATCTACACAACTTCATTTACTAGTATATATGATTTTAGCATTGCAAAACGTTGTTTTAGCTGTAAACATTGCAATAATGATCACACCAATGTCATTGTGTGTACGCTATAAACAAATGAATGGGTTTACACGAGCTAGTGTATTGTTATTACTCCATTATTATTACCAAATTAATATTTATATTATACGATAATTTATACAGTGCCACTTTTGTTCAAACACAGCGAACGCAATTATTTGTTTTTAACATGGATACTTAGAGCGATTTCAGTCGCAGTGGATGTAGTGTCAGTTAGTTTATTATCGCTGCCAAGTGGTTAACCTGAACTTGTGTGAATCATTTCAATAAAAACCAAAAGTTCGAAGATGTTGACAAAGTGCAGCCATGGAGTTGGAATTTTGCCCCATGGCAGCTGGCTAACTAAAAGATTTCCCGGCGTCGATCAAGATCATTGTCGTCAATGTGGGCGACATTTCCAGAACCCTACCAATCATTTTTAGGTACGCTGTATGCACCAAATCATAATTAACGTTATTTTTTTTAAGATTCAATATTCTTTATATCAGACCTGGCATCACGTGACTCAAAATGCTATTGTGAGAACGTTTCTAGAATACAACCAAAGAGATGTGCACCATTTCCCACACCAAAGCGATCGTTCAGACCCTTAATTAGTCAAATGTTCTGTATTTACGGATTATGTTAATTGTGAAATTTGTTTATGCCTCAGGACAACAGCTCTCCAAGATCGCATTAGGCGTCTATTAACAATGACCGTGGAAATCGTATACGTGTTGAATCAGCAGGGCCCTGTAACGCGAGATCTATAAACATTACTCTAATATACTTAAAAGTCTATCTGTCCCTACTGCGATGACTTTTATATTATGATATTTTTCAGATAGTCGAGATCGTTTATGATACCCCGATGGGGCCAATGTATGTTATAGTTTCATAATTGCATCAGTGATTGCCTTGTAGTGTTTTCAAAAGCTTGTTGACATGTTCCAATATTGATGATAAATTTACTAAGAACAGAGCGAGACTTATACACGTGAATTTGACAAAAATGGTAAAACTTACCCCCAATCTGCAGCAACCAGGGAACAATTGAAGTCCGTTAATCACCACTAATTGTGCAACAACAACACTTCTCATGGAAACACTTGTACTCATTAGATCTGTTCAATGTGCGCTTGCGCAGATGGTTCAATTATCGTAAAGGAGTCTTTTCGACAGGTCAGTGACGAAACAAATGTTAAAGTATACGAATTAAAACAGAGGTCACAGGAAATAACGGAAATCCCAATCTGAAATTCCGATAAGTCGGATAATTGAACTTAAAAAGAACTTCGAGTTATGTATGGATATTGAATGTTATTTATAGCAATTTGTGTGATAATTATGGTTTATTTTCGATATTAGTTTTTAATATAACTTTGATAATATTTAATTACTGTGAGGCTCAACCAGATCAAAACTTTAGCTCAAATATAAAGCATGAAGTGGCCATCCCCTAACAATTGCGGGTTTCTTTGTTCATGTGACTTATTTTATACAGAGTAACTCTTCATGTATTTAACATATTTACATAACTGTGGGTCAGGTCTGGTTGTACAATGGGAACAATTCGTGTGCTGTAAAGAAACTTGTTAAATGTCAAAATGTCAAAATACGGTCAAGTAGGTCAAAGAATAATTGGATGAAGATAGAATAGATATTAGTGATAAATTCCATTGGAATTTAAATGCAAAAATATTCACGTCCAGGCTGCAAAAAAACAAAACAACAAAAACAGTTTGATACCGTAAAGTTACAATGCCTATACATATGACACATTCAACTGTGAATGTATAGAAATAAGGTTGTACAAATATTAGCACTGTTACGTTATTAATATGAAATATATATAATATATAATTCATAATAACGTATAATATATCGACTAAGGGATCGAAAAAATGTATCTTAAAACAGATTAAGGATTGGCCGTTTGAAATCGGAGGGGGGCAGTTAGAATATTTGTATATACACATCAAGAACATTCTGTGTATTCTTACTTTTATCGATATACTGGTACATTTCTATACAAGATTTTAAACAATTCACTGATTATCAAATAAGAGATAACCCGCTACCACCATTTTCTATTTCAGATTGTGATACTTATGTTTTTTGTTTTCCTGAATTATTTGAAAAAAAAAATAGTGTTTAAAAAGTTTCAAATATGCAACTTTTCTTTAACATTGTGTTCTATGGAATTGTTTTAAAAAAAAATAACATTTTTTGAAAAATATTGAAAATGGCTTCTACCTGAAAGTTGCATTCCAACTTTGCAAAAAATGTTAAATGCTATATATGAATTCCAATAAGTGACATTTGAAGGAACGAAAGTGCACTTATAACAAGAAATCTGGCCAAAAATGCGAATAATCGAACTTTTCCGGTCACTGCCGAACCGATCATTTTCGACGACCACCATTCCACAATCGAATGTTAGAACACTATTTCTAGTTCGACATTGTACGCTGTTTTCTACTCTAAATACTATTCACACAGCTTATTGGCGAATTTCCAGTGATTATTCGTAGGCAAAATTAATAAACAAAGAAATATATTCATACAAGCGTTTTTCGAAAAAAACAAAAAACGAAAAAAAACAAACAAAAAAACAGAACATTCAAACCACACGAGAGGCACGTGACTGACTAGAATTAGATCTGTAATATATTTATAGTTTGTTTGTTTGTTCTCTAACAGCAAAACTGTCCAATGCTGAAAGATTATTATTGGACCGTCCCTAATTTACGCTCAGACATGCTTTCCTGATCGGTAGCTTTAAAGTATCGTTTGTTCTTAAAACTACCAGTATCGTATACTGTTAGGATGCTTGTTATATTCGCTTCATAACTACCAGTTATTTGACCTCATAGCGTATAATATACATGACCACTCCCTGACCTGTGAGCCGTGGGCCTACTAAAGGGTTAATGTCTCAGCGTATATGACTTATTCTTTCCCACCAAACTGATGAATCGTATTTTTATATAGAGACTGGCGCTAAACAGCCTGAAAACTGCATTCCGAATAATTTTAGTAAGTAGAATCAATTGTTTTAAAAGTACATACACTATTTCTACATGAGAACCAATCTATAGTGTGTTTTCATTTTGGTTAAGTATCAATTTCCAATGTTGTCGCCAAGTGTTTTAAAACTGACCATTAAGGGCGATGTCGTATTTTACCTACCAGGTTGAATATTTTCTGAAGTTTAATTTTGTGGAAAGGAAATTACTGTGTTCATTTCAGACAAGCACGCTTTCAAAAAATCCATACTAGATACGGTTAATTGGTGTCATGGTGCATAGTTCAAATTTTGCAATCGATCTATTCAAAATATTATCTCTAGACAAAATAAGTAACATGGTGTACAATGTATCACCTGCCACTGACGTATAGTACCAGAAGGAGCAACACAAGTCACTCAAACAAAAATAGCAATTTATTAATTGGTATAGCCAACTCGAAAACGCTGATTCCCGAACACTACGGCGGCGTTGAGCGATTATTTAACATCATACCCACTATATTAAAATAAACTCCGCGTATTTGAATATATCCTCTCTCCCCTCTCCAATTGATTTCATGATTTTTTGAGTCGGGCTTTTAAGAAGTTTTAGTTTAAAGATATCAAGCGTTGACACGCGGTTATTTTCTGCCAAATCTATATTTAGAGTGGCGAAAACCAAATTATGTTTGAAGGAGAGCATTCGAGAGGTTTATATTATAGAAGTAATTATTTTTTTTTTATTTCAGTACACAGGTCATATGATGCGACATCAGTACAGTACTGCGTATTTTACTGTTCTTCTAATAGCTTCCACTACGCATGCGTGGCAAGAATGGAAAGGTATATGTCCAGAGAACTGTCTGTGTGTGACGGCACCAGACGAGGCGTTGTTTGCAAACTGCAAGAGCCAGGGACTGAAAACGGTGCCACGGCACTTTCCCGCAGAAGCAGACACAATTGACTTGTCGTACAACGAGATAGAAGAGATATCCAAAGACACATTTAATACAAATCTACCAAAGTTATACAGTTTAAATCTCGGATTCAATCGAATCTCTCATATTGATGATGATGCTTTCGAAAGCCTTGGTAGCCTCGGTGAGTTGATTATGCAAGGGAACTTCATACGTCGCCTCTCGCCTCGGATCTTCACAGGATTGAACTACTTACAAACATTGTTTATTGGATTCTGTCCAAACTTAGAGAGTCTAGAAAACGGAGTGTTTTCACATCTACCCAACCTAGTAGTTCTTTTTGCAAGTAACAGTTCTATAAAGGAAATTGGAGATAGCAGTCTTAGTGGCACGACTCTGCAATTTATAAACTTGGCATTCAACCATCTTCAACGCATGCCGAACATTACAGGGTTAGAAAACGTCCATCTTTATTTAGAGGGTAATCGTATCGAAACTGTAAATCCCGCGTATATGCACGAAATATCAACCATAGGGTCAATTGAATTGAATAGAAACCAACTTAGGACCATTCCCCTAAACGTTATTCAAGTTCTCAAGTTTTACGAAGTCTCGAATCCAGTCTCGTTCTGGCTTAACGTACAAGACAATCCGTGGGTATGTGACTGTGACATGAAGAGGGTTGTGGACGTGTGGCCCACAATGCCAATGTTTCTAGACAATACAATCACGTGTGCGTTCCCAACTAAATTAAGGGGTATGAATCTGTGGGACGTTCCACCTCAGGAACTGTGCAGGACTTTTATCAAGGACTCTGAGCAAGTTGAAATATTCGAATACGAAGCCCCAACTGAGGAGGTTTATGAAGCCGGCTCTGCTGATGGCCCAGATGATGTCAACTTGACATTCATAATTGTGGCATCAATAAGTAGCGCTGTTGGTACAGTACTTTTGACATTGGCCGTCATAGGCGCTGTTGTTTGGTGTCGGCGAAAAAAATAAATGTTTAGACGTTGCTTCTCCATTTTGAAAACACAACCACTAGAGGGCGCATTATTGGTTCTCTGTCAGAGAACAGGCATCATGTTATTTATTATTTCTCTGGAGTAACCATGGGGATTTATTAAACGTTTATTTCTCACCTAATCTCTGAAATTTTGAAGAATAGGTTATTATAAACCTAGTAACTGTCGCTGTGAAAACGTTGTTTCCTGTTACCACTTGGTAATTTGATGGAGTTTATGTCAATTAAGTATAATATCTTTCCCAAAATACTGAATTATTACAATGAGAAAATGATTAAAGCCCCCTCAATAACGTAATCCATTAAATTTTATTCCTTGTTTCCATAGTAACAAAAGTCAAATAATCCTTTAAGTTTTTAATTTACTGACTTTCCAAGCAAATTTATCTAATTCTTACTTTACATGCAACGATACGCACTTTTTCTCATAAATTTAACTTCATACAATTTTACTTGAATTTCCACTCAACTTTACAAATACACCGGCCATAATTTTACTTCTTAATATTTCCAATACAGTGATTTGGTGGCTATCTTTACTTCAAAGGCAATACATTTGGTGTTCTAAGATACTAAATCCTGCACAAAATATGGAAAGGATTGCATAAATGCAGGAAAGAATATAATGTACCATAACACAAGTGAAATTATATCCACTATTCCATATTTGTTCCATTACACATCTCTACTATGTGCAACAAATCAAAAAACGCATATTATATACAAAATCATTAAAATATGAATTAATTTAACCATCGAAAACTTGTTATGATGGAAACACCTACACCACCAACCTGATTAAAATAATATCTCGTGGGATTTTTTTGTATTATATTTTAAAATATAACTTGTTTTATTGATTTTTTTTTAATATTTATATTTATTTTATTTAGCATTATCTTGTTTATTTTTTGGTTTTACCATTAATCCCCACAAAGGTGACTAACACCAAAAATGATGAAATACCACTTTATTTTAATTAAATTGATACGCTACTAATAGAGCAAAAAAAATGTAGCAAGAATCATTTGCAATGTGTGAAAGAGAGGGTATATGTGCACAATTAAGATACTGGGAATAGAGAAACTAAGGCAATTTATATGAATCCACTAGACAACCAATGACCAGTTACTTTTTATTCCATAAAATCACTGAAAATAAAAAAAAAGATGACCTGCTCAAAGGTTAAAGACAGCATTCATGTGATAAAATTGGTTTTAATAAATATATCAGCAAAAGTTTTCCCAAAATACCCCCATCCCAACAATTCTACAGTAACTCTACCTAGACTGGCAAAGTCGGGACTTCTTTTTTGTTTTACAAAAAAAAAATATAATTGTCAATTTAGCCCTTTTAACGTGTTCGCGAACACTAGTGTGACTGCGAAAGAAATTCAGACTGGACGCATCTGCAGGCGACCCCCCGCGTTGGAGTGAAAACTGGAGCTAAATCACTCCGATGTGCAGCTGTATACGTCATATCTTATCTATGTTAATGTACGTGTGTTAAGCGTCCATAGGGAACCACATTATAGTATATTTCGAAGTTTTCAATAATTTTTCGTAATTATTTTGAATGTAATGACCGTATTACAAAATTTTGTAGAAAATATATACATATTCTACCAAAAATGAGGTAGTATATCAATTGTTTTAATCTTTTTTCCTTCTCAAACAGTATTGGTGCAATTATCCATTCATTTTATGCCGAATTACGAGTTTTCACTTATCTATCACATAAAGTATCCATCTTTGCGATCGAATCTAATCAACCTTCATGTCATGTTTACTTTCACACACCCACTCATGAATAATCAATGACATCATGAGTAATTAATAACAGTCAAATACCCGCAGATGCGTCCAGTCGGGATTTCTTTGGAGGTCAGGTTAGTTTTCGCGATCACGCTAAAAGGACTAAAAGAACATTTAATTATTTATTTTTGTAAAACAAAAAAGAAGTCCCGTCTTTGCCAGTCTACCTGTCCCCTTAAAAGTAGTCTTGTACTGGATGGTAATTACCATAATTACCACAATTACAAAGAAAGCTATTAATGAATCCAAATATTCAGCTATTTAAAAAAACACATTTGTTAGTACATAGGTGTAAATACATGTATATAAACCGTATAAAGTCTGCCAAAAAAGTCAGCAAAATACTCCAGATATATACAAAGAAAGCACAAAAATGAATTCAATTTGCACTCAAATAATGTGACACTGTTATGAACTATAGATGTTTATATCAGTTACAAATAATATATAAATTTATATACATACTATTGTTAAGCTATTTTCATGACACTGAAAGTACCAATCCAAGTTTCAATATTTACTTACCGGTAATACAGCTTGTTTAGACAGGTGAATGCTCAAAGTATTAGCCAGGTGGATACGATTCAGTGTGCGCATTTTTTTTGAATATCTACCAAAATATTCAGTATTCTTTGTTATTAAATTAAACCTTAATGATTTCATTAGAAAATCTGTATTACAATCAGTTTTTTAATCAGTGTTTTGAATGGTTTTTATCAACAGAGGAAAAAACGGGTATTATTTACAATGGGATTAATAGAGAATTTAGATGGTGACCTTTGAACCACTGAATGTAAGGCAGAGAATTCAAATGGGGAAATGTCACATGGAGCATTCAGTGTTTGATACTCGCAAATAACACAAACATCAATAAACGGGATGGATACTCTCAACACAGACAGACAGACAGTATAGCAACGTTACTTCTGTTTTGTGCCCTGCACAAAAAGTTGAAGCGGGGGAGTCGTCACCTACGCATGCGTCAGGTGGCCATAGCATGTCATTGTTTACGAACAAGTGTCTACCCACGAGACTTTGCGTTCTTGGCATGTGTTGATATCGCCGCTTGGGACTCAATTCCTGCGCATGTGCAAGTGACACCCCTTCCGCCTGCTTTAAAGGGTTGCAAATACATTATTTTCATTAAAGCACTATCCTTAAATGCTAATTATTAAATGATAACATTCAGTTAGTAGATTACCCATATTTATGTCAAGGCATAATTCATAGAAAAATCATAAAATGCTTTTATTTTAATCAGACATTATGTTGGAGGAGAGGAGTTTTATCTTACAAAAAATAAAAATTTGAATTATTTTTCAAATTGTGTTTTTTCACATTTTTTAGTGACGCACACAATGACCAATACATGAATATTTCATTTTATGCTATATGGGTCTTCCACTATTTACTGTAAAATAATTTGTTTTCTCTTGGAATTAATTTTCGCTATTTTGGTTGAAGGAATGATTTAGTGAAAATAAAATCCAGCGAATATACCTTTTTTCCTACATTTTCCATTCAACTCGTCAAAAATCAAGAAAATAAATTCCATACAAAACACCCAAAAAGTCTTTTCAGCGAAAATTAATTCCAGCTAAAATAAAGTATTTTACAGTAACAATTGATAAAAAAATATTGTTATTAAAGTTTGAACTACACCTGCCCTCTAGGGTTCAAAGTCTGAATACTTTTGTTTAGAAGTATGTATATCCACATCGTTTCATATCACTTTCACAGAAAGTTAAACACAGTGTGCAAGTTACGATATCAAAAGTCCCAAAAATAATAACCAAGTAAATATTTGATATTTGATAGTTTCTATGAATTAAATGCCAAAAGCAAACTTGTATCCATGGAAACAATGACACGATTTTCTTCCATACCATTGAGCCTTATTTTGGTAGCCACTTTAAATTGAAAATGCGTACAATTGTGGTTCATATTTCAAAAACTATATTGTCATGTAATATCTACAATCAAACAATAATCCAATGTCACAATATGTGTGTAGGTCAGACACTGCGTAGGTATAACAAGTATAATAGTTTTTTCAACATTTTGTATGGGATTGGGTTTAAAGTAGATTCACAGGATTTCATACGTGAACACATTTTATCACTCAGAGCGTACAACAAACTTAATATTATTTGTACTCCATATACTTACATTTTTAAATTTAAATGTAGTTCCAAAACATTGTTTCCTTATTTCAAATTTATGATTTTTCATAATAAAGAATCTTCATAGATTTTAGTGTTTCAGGATAAAATAAAAATGTTTTCCTCAAAAATTTGGTTCAATGCCCAATTTGTTATTCTGCATATGTATAACCATCTGTTCACAAGCAGAAAATGTTGAAAACACTATAATGATGAATTCAGGAAGAGGGGGGGGGGGTGTCTAAAAAATTTACTAAATCCATTTGGTTTTTTCCTCATATATACATACTATATGCACAGAAATACTTCAAGATGCACCAAGAAAATGGTTTGTCAAAATACATCACAATTTAATATAGCATTCAGAAAAATTTAATTATATTTATTAGTAAGCCCACAATATTGACTGAGAAGGCAGATCACTAAAACCCCAAAAGTGCCCAACTAAAGACATCTAGCACTGCTGTCATGTGATTTTGTCACAACCAATCTTATCCCATCTTTCATGTCATGTGATTTGGCAAAATCCAATAAGATTTCAGCATTTTCTTAGCAATCACATTCCAGCTATCATTCTGATCAGACCAATAGTTGCCATTGCTGTGACTTCTCAAATTGTCTTCGTTAACCAATCATCTCCCTTCTCTATTGTCATGTGATGTGATTGTCAGGTGACTCCTTATTATCATAGAGAGCCTTGAGAAGAGTGATTTTCCCTAATAAAACAGAAAAGTTAATTTCAATTAAAAGAAAAGTTGCGATGAGATCTTGGATATATCCACAGTTAGCCGGCGTTTTAGAGTTCATTTGAAACGAGGACTAAAAGAAAATCTTACCTTTTAACTTTCAATTGATTACTGTCAGCTGTTATAAGTTTTCTACCTGGTGCAGATTTTGTTCTTTTTCTCATGTGTGAATGACTATTTGAATGATAGTACCCATTACTATTGCTATGGTTACTGTTTACTGTCTTGGAAGAGTTCATACTGTCTTCGGATGCCCTACGTATTACTCCTGTTTTAGGTCTCTGGCTCATTTGTGTGCAGACCTAAAAATAGAAAAAAAGTGTGAGAACTATATTAACACTAGTTCAGAGCAATGGGAAACAAATAACACCATCTTGGCTATACTACTGATTTCAGAGAAACGGAAGCACACAAAGCCATCATCTGGGTTTTTGTGCTCATTTAGTCGAAAGAAAGGTGAAAGAGAAGAGGGGGGGGGGGGGCAAGCTGTGGCTAACTTTAAATTACACATATGCAATACATGTATATATTTTTGGGAGAAAAAAACATTATACAAATGTTCATTCCAACAGAGGTGGACATACAGGTTGACAATGAGCTATGTGGGTCACTACAGAACTACAGAGGTGGGTGAACATTTAGTATTATTATACTAAATATGTCCACCTGAAATAAGCCAATCTGATTGGCTATCATGGGTATAATAGTAACATTCAGCAATACTGTGTATGTATTACAATTTACAGATTCTACACACTCAAAAGCTTGTACTTCCTCAATTGTGTTGATGCTGAACAAAGTTGCCCTTCAACAATCCCTAGTATTTCTATGATGACAGCAATTTTATCAATCTTAACCATGAAACTGTTTGCCCTCTCAACTCTGAAGTTCAAGTCCTGTCATTCTCAGAATATCATGATGTTACAGTGCATATAATAGCTCCCCCTATTATCGGAATACAAGTCACTACAAATGGTTGCCACACACACAATCTTATAATGTACAAATGATCACCTTTTTGTTAAGAACACATATGATGTCCTGCATTGGTAAAAACACTCCATGGTTACGATGACACCAAAAATAACGTTTTCCATTCAAAAAACCATCATGGCGTCCCACTGGAAGACAACAAAGGTTAAATGCATGAAAATTTTATCACATATATTTACTATTGGTCTAGTACCCTAATAAACAACACCAATTGCACAATTAGAACTTTATTCTACAGCACAGTGGTGCCATAGAAACAAAAAAACATAACATTTTTTATAGAGGGGGGGGGGCAAGGGTTATTTTCGTTCAACGTAATTGCAATATTTTTTTGTTCGTACAACGTAAATAGAAAAAATAAATTCCGTAATTCTGTAATCACAGGCTAGACGTACAACGTAATCAATCAAATATTGTTTTCGTACACTGTAAAAATGTGTCATTTTTCTCATACGTATATATATACGTACAAAAATTCACATCCAAATAAAAAAATCGTAAAGAATAATCCAGGGAAATTACATTTTAGAAACTGTAAAACGACTAGATGACACAATTCACTACAAAATTGAATGTCAAGACATAAAAGGCCCTCTAACCGAATGAAGAGCATTACGAGGGTAATATGCGCATGCGTCTCTTCACACGGCGCAGCAATGGCGGAGAATTTGAGTCGAAGAGCTCTTCGGACCATTCAATGTTCCATTTGTTAACACTGTAAACTGTAAAAACGTCTTTTTTTTCTTCGTAAATTGTGCCCTTTTTATTTCCCGTAAAACCGTACCAGCTACCCCCCTTGCCTCCCCTCTTTATATAATTTTGTCTATTAGGTACAGTTCTTGATCAAATTTTTGGGGGGAAATGTGAAAAATCTGGGTTTTATTTTGTGAAAAGTGACAAAAAGTTGAATGGAGATATACTTGTAATTCCCGAAAGTCACTGGGTGAAATTTGTCTTACCTGAAAATGAAGTGATTTACGATTTATGTATTCATGTTAATCCAGAGACCCGAGAGCGCCCTCTGTGTTATCAAACCAAACAATCCTTGAATGGTTAGAGATTATGATAGCCAATGACAGATAGTCTTACATACTAAACTCACCTGGTGCATCTCAAATAGCCAATGACAGATAGTCTTATATACTAAACTCATCTGGTGCATCTCAAAGAGCCAATGACAGATAGTCTTATATACTAAACTCACCTGGTGCATCTCAAATAGCCAATGACAAATAGTCTTATATACTAAACTCACCTGGTGCATCTCAAATAGCCAATGACAGATAGTCTTATATACTAAACTCACCTGGTGCATCTCAAATAGCCAATTACAGATAGTCTTATATACTGAACTCACCTGGTGCATCTCAAATAGCCAATGACAGATAGTCTTATATACTGACCTCACCTGGTGCATCTCAAATAGCCAATAACAGATACTGTTATATACTTAACTCACCTGGTGCATCTCAAATAGCCAATGACAGATATTCTTATATACTAAATTCACTTGGTGCATCTCAAATAGCCAATGACAGATAGTCTTTTATATACTAAACTCACCTGGTGAATCTCAAATAGCCAATAACCGATACTGTTATATACTAAACTCACCTGGTGCATCTCAAATAGCCAATGACAGATAGTCTTATATACTAAACTCACCTGGTGCATCTCAAATAGCCAATGACAGATAGTCTTGTATACTAAACTCACCTGGTGCATCTCAAATAGCCAATGACAGATAGTCTTATATACTAAACTCACCTGGTGCATCTCAAATAGCCAATGACAGATAGTCTTATATACTAAACTCACCTGGTGCATCTCAAATAGCCAATGACAGATAGTCTTATATACTAAACTCACCTGGTGCATCTCAAATAGCCAATGACAGATAGTCTTATATACTAAACTCACCTGGTGAATCTCAAATAGCCAATGACAGATAGTCTTATATACTAAACTCACCTGGTGCATCTAGTTGCAGTCCTACATATACAACATGTGTAGTTCCTACATTATCAAGATGACCTATATACCTAGCATGACCGGTCCGTTCTCCCCTCACAACGACATGGTCATCTAATTCAATAGGTTGCCTGAAAACACAGTAAATTGGTTACAATGTTATTATACTTCCAAATAAGAAGCAGAGTACTGCAAAGTAGGTTCACAGCGAAAAAGACAAGAATAGAGTCTTTTGTTATTCGGCTATAAATAATAATTGTGAATCGTCAGCAACAATTGAAAATACATTGTAAATATTTACAGCTTTACACTATAAAATTTGTGTTTAGAAGGACAAAACGAATAAACTGTCTGTTTAGTTACAGTGTACTGTAAAAATACACTGAATGAATGAATCAGTGATTACATTTAACTTGTCAACAGTCTTTGGAAATAAACTTCATACAAAGTACAAAACAAATGAAAATTCAGTGAAAATTAATTCCAGCTAAAATAAAGTATTTTACAGTATTCTAAATGAGCCACTATTCTGATAACTAATTACAATATTGTGAATAGAAATGAAGTCAACACAATCACTGTCAATCATTTGGAGGTCACGATTAAAGCGTATTCCTGGTCTGTTTTCATAAATTTATATGATTACTGAGATATTACAAGCATTGTAGCTAGGCACAATGGACCGTTGTATGAATTCTATGTCCTCTTGTTGCAATATCTTGAATAGAAATGAAGTCAACACAATCACTATCCCTATCAATCATTTGAAAGTCACGATTTAAGGGTATTCCCCACATGTTTTCAAAAATTTACATGGTTATTGAGATATTACAAGCATTGTAGCTAGGCACAGTGGACCGCTGTATGAATTCTATTTCCCATGATCCTCCCTGATACAAATCTTAGTTGATCATCATAAATAAAAGGAGATGTATCATGAGAATATATATATATATATAAGTAAAATTTCTTACTTTCTATGGTTAAGTACTGAGTTTCTTTCCATTAGAATATTTAATGATACTCTTTTATAGCCGTTTTCATCCAATGTGTTGCATGTAGTACACTTACAACCTATCAGAGGACCGGTTAAAGCCAAAGTACCCATGTTCTGTGGACGTGGTACAATTGGAGGTTTTGTTTTACTGTTAACACTGAAAAAGATAAAATATATGTGAATTACTACAATTACATATAAATATAAATAGATTTTCATACTAATCAAATACAGTTACTGTTTAAGCATTATTTGATTCTGTTAAATTCACAAATCTTATATTCAGACATGCACCAAGTTAGTTGGAGTGGAAGGAGAAGGGGTGATAGTTAACTTATTTTATGTATTGTACACCTAGCAGGTATGGAGGCAATGGGTTATTAGGTGTACCCATATAAACATAGAACAACTATTAAAACCTTGCTCTTGATAAAATTATTGGTCTCCCAGGATTAAATGACGTCTGAGACATGTTGCTATAAATTGTGTACAAACATTCAAGTACTCTTCAGTTCAAATCTAAACCACTCTGAAAACAGTGTACATGGCGTTTTGGAGATTATGTCACTGTTGCAAGATACAGGAAAACCAAATCAGAGTTGAAACAATCGACAAAACTTTACCAAAAGTGTATTTTCCAATCTGATTTAATTCAATGTGTTTTTTTTCTAAGAATAATAACTGATCCCATTCAGTGATTTAGAAACATAAACAACAACAAATCTATATGCATTTAGCAAAACAAATCTTTGCTTTATGAATTGTACAAATAAAAAATTGCCTGAAAAATACCAAATCTTTGGTGTCAGTTTATTTGAGGTCCTATCCTTAAATACTGTAAAACCATTTATTTTCACTATTTTGATGTTTTGAGCATATTCACTGTATTTTAATTTCACAAATTTGTCAAAGAAACAATGAGTTTTATTGTTATTTTACTTGTTCACATAAATTTAATTTAGCAGATTTTACTTAATATTGAAAATAATGAAATTAAAATCCAGTGAATAATTAATGCATTTACAGTACAAGTGAAAGAATTGATTCTATGACCAATTGGAACAAACAGAGGAAGGCACCACCCTGAGCTTACCTTGCTGGTATAAATGGTAAATTAACAGACATTTCAGATTCAGAGTGATCATGATTAACTTGGTCATCAGTATGAGATGTTGAACTCACTTCATTCTCTATTCTCACCTCACATATTCTAGTTCTCTGTGAATACAAAATTAATATGAATCAGAAAACAACATAAATGCCTACAGTGCAAAACATGTACATTCAAACACATTCTGCAAAATTGTGACAGAATGTGTATGAAGATCTTTATAATGTACATAGATGAAAAAAATAAATTCAAAAAAAGTTACAAAATCCTGAATTTACAATAATTTTTATGAGTACACTGTATATATTTTTCAAGTTTCATAGTTGTTGTTGTCTAAATGTTCAAAATATAAAAAATGGATTTTGAAATTAAAACTGCATCTTATGATATACTTACATCCTCTTGTAGTTCTTTTAATGTTTTTAATTTGTTTTTTAATCTTTGTATTTCATCTTTGGCGATTTTCAGTTCTCTGTCTAATTGTATTCTGGCATTATTGGCTGAAAAGAGAAGATAACAAGTATGTGACTGTCACTGGTAAAACCAGATGCAGGAAAAGGTAATGTGAAGTCAATATGCAAACAACATTACAGTAGAGCTTCACAGCACCACAATAGAAACAAAACCTAATCACCTTGCAGTAGTACCAATAAGATCCAGAAAATTGGAGAATTTTTCTGGCGATGAATGGAATAAAGTTCAGGTTAAATATTTTCATTTCCCATTACTGTGGATGTGTTCAAGACAATAAAATGTCATTGGTTTGAAAGTCTATTTTTCTGGCGATGAATGGAATCAAGTTCAGGTTAAATATTTTCATTTCCCATTACTGTGGATGTGTTCAAGACAATAAAATGTCATTGGTTTGAAAGTCTTTTTTTCTTTGTCCTCTGACAGAGACTATGGCCATCTTGAATTTTGGAAAAATTGACATTGTGATCAATTCCTTGAGCAAATCATTGCTATTGTAAGTATTATGAATCCTAGGTGACTAGGCTTTAAGTAACTGTCAGTCGATTGGCTCAATATATTTCATGGTAATAATAAGTAATATTTCATCAAATGTTAGCGTTGTCATTTTCAGGGAAAATGAATCTATTTCACTTACCGTCTTGGCATTTCTTTTCTAGTTGGTCAGCATTGACCAATGAACATTGTACTTCTTTGCTGCATCTAGCAATGGGATGTACTCTTTTTGTTGTTGTTGTTGTATTTGGCAAGTTGCTGACCATCTCAACTGGTAATGTACGATTTTTATGCGCCACCTAATGAACACAATAATAAATACCATTAGGCTCACTATTAACCCAAATTATTCTCACAACAAATTGTATTTTCAGTAATTTATGAAATGCTGGTTGCTAGTGACCGGCACTGAGAATTTCCAACCAGGACAAAAACTTGGCGAACGGCACTATTCTATTTGTTTATCAGGCTGGGCAGAACCCTGCACACACTAAAACAAGCACATACAGTAAAACAACCTAATAAACTTACTCTGGGTGCAACATCTCTGAATATACCTGTGAATATGTGCACCCTCTAGACCAATATGACGTGCAACTGATGTATAATGATTTGTTGTGATACAATTAGTTGTGGTAATTCACTGGCGCATCATTGATGCAACAGAGAATCATACATTGATATAGTGATCTTGAAAAACATCTTACTATATGGAATTTGAATGTTGGTAAAATGAAGTTCACATTTTATAAATAAAATAAGAGTAAAAACAGAAGGAAGCCAGGGCCACTGTATTTTTGTTTGTGTCTCAAGACACCTATACAGTCATAAGCAACTTTATTTTTGTCTTAAAAACTGACGTCCCCAGCAGGCAGTAAGCAACTCAACTTGATTTTGAAGCATTCCACTTTAACTCAGGATCCCTACAAAATCAATTCTGTGAGAGGACACCATTGACTCCTAATCATCCAATCAGTCGGCTAAATATTACGATAGTTTGCAGCACTGTGAGCTATTTCACTAAATGGTTTAAAGCACATGATTTCAAAACATGTGCTGCACATGCAATCTAACCATTGTCGATATTGGAAACAAGTAACGTTAAGCTGACTGAATAGCTGACTTCAAGTATAAATTCAAGATGTTGTGCTCAGAGTAAATCTCTAACTAATAATATAGAAACTGAGCTTCTAATAAAAATATTTCTCACCACTCCATTTTGTTGAGGTATTGACCTTGGTATACTATCACTTGGAATGCTTTCATTTGAACTTGATCCTTGTGTAAAATTACGTGAATTTCTTGGTCTTCGTATTGGGGATACTAACGGTGATGATTGTGACTCTACGTTAGATCTTGTTAATTTGGGCGATGACAAGGCTGAGGAACACTGACTACACTGAGAACAAGGCCTGTTAATACATTCCTGGAATGAAAATGACAATAAATTCATAAATAGAAATTAAACTACCGTATTTGTCTTCAGTTAAGCGCCACCTTCAATCAGGCGCCAGTGCCACAAAAACTTTGTATTTTACACCTCAATTAAGCGCCAGACAAAGTTGAAATTTTGGCACGTAATGATCATGAATTGGGCGCCGGCGGATCGACTACCGATTACCGGTTAGTAGCGATGGACGCGATTGCGGAAGTCCCTCGCTGTTACTGTACGAATGGCTTTTATGTAAAAAAAAAATTGGTTTTGTTTCTAACAAATTTTAAGAAATCGGTCTATAATCTCTTGAAACATGTCCCTTTAGTCTACTGTAGAAAATATCCATAAAAACGAAATTAAAACAACGCGAAAATGTTCTGTTTCAAATGCGCTGTTGTCACAGTGAACAGTGTTAAATTATTCTTTAAATGCTCAGTTTACTTTCCAAAAATAACTAATTTCTTGATTTGAAAAAAAATCATGCAGTTTTTCCCACCAAAATCAAAGCCAAAATATCGCAAACATCAGCAAATCACTTCCGCATTGCGTTCATACATTATTTAAATGAGCTATGGTAATTTGATCATGTTGGCATCATCCAGCATTTTGATTGGTTAATTAATGACTTGACCTATCAGGTCAAAAAACACGTTCCAGGTCAAGTCCTAGACAGGAAGCATGGCAGATATCGAATCGCGTTGAGCGTTTACATGCGACCAGAATCATTCGCTTACGATGAAATTAAGTTGAATTTTACTTGCATTTTATTTTTTGTACGTTATTATAATTACTACTGAGTAATAATCGTAACCGTGGAATGCAGCATGACCGGATTTTGCTACCATGATCATTGACTACTAAGCGATGCATTTGTGTTTGTTTTATTTTTCTGTTGATCGTACGGCAAACTGTGAATGTTTTCTAAAGGATGATAATTTTTGTATAACTTTCTAGACTGTCTGAAAACGGGTCATTTACTCCGTATTTAAAATAAAGGCTACAGTGACTAAGCGTCAGACTGTAATGTAAAATATTGCCAATAATCTATCACCAGAATGGAGCAAAAACAACGGCTTGTAACACAGTTACATTTGTACCGGTACTAGAACTTGAAGTGCTTGAAATAAGCGCCATTTGAAACAAAGTTGCTCAAATTTAACCACAAATAAGCGCCACCATGAAATGAAAGTGAAAGTGGCGCCTAATTGAAGACAAATACGGTAGAATATATATATTAATAAATGCAGTTTTAAAACTTAACACTTTTTAAACTAAAGCGACTACTGAAAAGTGTTTACCATAATTAACCATAACAAACAAATGAAATGAAACTAGGATGCCATTGTTCAAACAGTAGGCAAACTACATGCAAATTATATGTAAATTAAATGCAACTTGTATGTACCGGTAATTTGTAAATAATATGCAAATTACTCGAAAATTATATGAAACAAGCAACATGTAAATCAAATGCAAATGATAATGTATTATTTTCACCTTATCATGTGAGTTTGTTTGAGATGATGGTTGATATGAATTGATAGATGGTGGGGTGGGGCTAGTAGATGTACTTGTTCGACTACTTCCAAACATTCCATGAGGTCGATGAAAATTCCTGAGGCGCTCAATTTCTTGTTTTTGTTGGTATACCAATCCTTCAAGCCTGTGAAACAAAACAAAAATATACAAAATAAATTTAAATTGTCTTAAATAATTCTATAGATGAAGAGGAGTCAAGAAATGCCAAAGAAAGAACTAAATTTCATTAAAAGGTTGAAACATGTCAGGTAAGAGATGCCCAAACCTCTCAAAATTTCCACACACAAAAATATATGTTTCTGGTATTGCGATGTTCATGTTTGTTTGTTTGAATTTTTTCAATTATTTTTTAAAAATCAAATCTTTTATTTAGGTCTAAACAGAAGTTCACTATAGCGATTCAGAGCTAAACTTAGTGTAACATTGTAGCGCCCTCTCTGTCATAAAAAAAAATCTTTTGTTTTCAAATAGTTGAAACTCAGTTGTCCAAACTCACCCATTCGATTATTTTAATATTTTCTAAAATTTGTTGAACAATTACAATGACAACAGCCTTTAGATCCACACGTTTTCATTCAAGTTTGGTTATGAGACAAACAGCATGCAATACTAGGCGTCAGTAGATAATCCAGGTAAACCAAGCAACCAGGTGATTATGGTGAAAGGTTTCTAACAAGAGACTCGTCATTTTGATAGGAGGAAACATGGTCATTATAGCAATGTCACATAGTTGGTAAAGCACATTACCGTATTTGTTCTATTAGAAGCACATCACCAATAGAAGTGCATATCAAACAAAAATTGCATTTGTTGTGTACTGAATTATTAACATATGACTTTGGATTTGGACTTTCGATCATGGAAACTCCTTAGTGAATAACATTTCCATATGTGGTACAGTAAATAAAATACACTATAGATACTGTCAGTACTGACTTCTTGCAGAAGAGACAACAGACATCAGAATATAAAAACATAGTGTTTTTAATAGGCAGATAAATATTAATTTGTATTTTCTAAACATGCTGACACATCAGAGTAACATTTGTGTTTGAGGGAGCATTCACAGACATAAAACAGACAAGAGAAACAGCTGCATTCAATCAGTCCCATACTAGCATGTTAACGAATGCATACAACATTATAAACATGCACTTTTTTTTTGCCAGGCACAGTTCTGGACATTGAGTGTCACTGTTGTGTGTTTTTTTTAGTACCGATATGTGCAAAGTGCTCGTGGTGACACATATTCATGTTTGGGACTACATGACAGGGCTGTGTGGCCATCTCTCTATCAAATGGCAATTCAATGTGCTATCCTGGCATCAACCAGGCTTCGTCGAACACAAGCACCTGCTGTCCTTAACTAAGGTTCCCCCAAAGTCGCATTCGTTAGTGAATGAATCTCAGCCAGTGGAATTGGCCTTTCCATTGAGTCTGTGGCACACTCACCAAGGGTAGGGGTCGACCCTTCGATGTTCAGCCTAAGGTAGGATTTGAACTTGGGTCTACCAATCATGAGTCTGATGCGACAACCACTATGCTACTAGTGACCGGTCAGCAGTTTTCATGCACATTACATGTATCAGCATATTTCCTATTTCTCATGTGTCCACAAAATATGACCACATTTAGTAACGTCCAAAAATGTATTTCCTTTAGTTACATACAATTCAGGCTGTATTTTCAGAGTGTGACCCGACCTCTGTGACATTTCATGTCTGCAAGTGACGACAGGCACAAATATATTTCCCTTAATATAACTTTTCCTTTCATCTTTGATGATACGGGCAAGGTAAAAATATCGGACTTTTTATTTTCAAGATTTTGTACTGCAGTCAATTTCCTAATTTTGACTGTTTTCAATATTATATAAAATATTAATTATGATTTTGATATCCTGAGCATCGTTACATCAATAGAGTAAGTGGATACAAATGTTTAATTTAAGCAAGTAGATACAAAATTAAGTAGAAAATGGTGGTTTAATAATAACATTATTTGACCCATTCAACTTTTGTCACCTTCAACAAATCAAAATTCTTCAGAATGTTTTTCAATTTTTTTTATTATAAAGACCTGTAGCCAATGGAAAGTAACTAATTGGTTCAAAATTTATAAAGATATTATGAAAAAAACCTTAAAATGTGCAAAAAGCTACCAACATTTATGCAAAAAATATGATGAACAAATGGTTAATGAATGAAATCTGCTAAAAAATAAATACACATAAATAAACAACAGCTCATTATTTCTAAAAATAAACTGCAATGGCACAAAAAGCACAAATACTGGAAAAAATGTCAGGTGACGACAAACGAATATTTTTACAGACAACCATGGCTACATGGCGTAAACCGATCAGAATATATTGGCTACCACGGCAGCGGTAATAAATTCACACAAAAATGTAATTGTTGTCAACCCAAACATTCACTACAGAGTGTGAGGGAACACATAATTCAGGACTCAATAAAAAAGAAAAAGAGACTTAGTTTTAATTAGAAACAGGCAGTCGTCAAAATAACTAAAAGATATTTGCTGTCTGAATTTTTTTTTAAATAAAATCCAAAATTAGCAATAGGTAAATTTATTACGTCCCCATCAAAATAATCCTTACATGTCTGCCCAACATAAGGCAAATCAATTCAATGTAATTTCCTGAGATACTGATATATCCTATAAAAGAAACATCTGGTTCCTTTCTTTTTTCATATATTAAATATTAATTAAATCACCAGACATTAACTCTCCACAATTTAGAGCACATTTTTCTTACATTTTCAGTAATTTTTTCCCATTTATGATAATTTTATACCAAACATACAGAACTTGACATTGTTCAAAGGTTTGACATGATATGATTATTTCATACATTTGGTCAACATTTTGATTGGAAAGCAAAGAACATGGATGATGAAAAGCTAAAACTGGTCAGAAAAAGCTGAAAACTAAACTCATAATTAACTTATTTAACCAACTCTCTGTTCTTCAAAACAACTTTTGTCTTTCACTTCCATTTACAATAAACATATGAAAAGTTCTGCCACTGAGCATGGAGACGGCTTTGTTGAGGAAGCACTCAGGTTCACGTAACCTGATCACTCTCAATAAGTATCCAATATCACCACTCTCTTGGGACTACTTTGTCAATAATTGACCTCATTTTGTTAGTACAGGTAACCTATTTTTTTTTGTAGGCAACCATACATCTTTGAGTTTCTGTTTAAAGTTTGTCAATTCCAATAACAGCTGCATGGAATCATGGGACACCTTTGTTCTGTTTAATGTGTCTTTCATTCCATAGTATTATTTTAAACATGTAATACTTTGGTATTAGAAATAACATAGCTTCAGCTACTCTGGTTGCTAGGATACCATTCACGGGCAGTTTCAAGCTCATAAAAAATAGAGGCTGGTATGATATAGATTGAACATATGATTTTAGGTGTAGATTTTACCATACAGGTATTAGTTTTCCATCGAACATTTTTATTGTAGGCATCTGTGTTACGTTTAAATGGTTACAAATTATTCATAAAGCACTTAAGAAGCAGGAAACAATAATTTGTGATATCATGATATCATTATCTAGTAACCAAGGAAACCTATTAAATGAGAGGAATACAGCAATAAACAGTATCACTGAATCAACACTGGCAGGCTTAGTAAAATAGCAACAAATGGAGTACACAGAAATATTTGTAAAACATAAAAAAATAATGTTTTTGAAAAATATGTGAAATACTATAAACTGTAGACTTGCAAACAGTTCCTTGTTTATTTGTTGTTTTTGTTTTTTTGGGACTTGCTGTTTTCAACAAGAATTCAAAAATATCATTTTTCACCATAAATGATTGTGGTTTTTAACAAGAAGAAAATATCACTTTTCACCAAAAATGACAAAAATATTCCCCCAAATTAGATAATTAAAGATATCATTACAAAATGAACAAATCTGAGAGAGGTCCACATGTAGTACCTATATATGTAATAATATCAAAGCAATTGCACTTGTCGTTTTTAACAAGAAGTCGAAAATATCACTTTTTACCAAAAATGACAAAAATATTCCCCCAAATTAGAGAATTGAAGATATCATTACAAAATGAACAAATCTGAGAGAGGTCTACATGTAGTACCTATATATGTAATATCAAAGCAATTGGACTTGTGTTTTTTAACAAGAAGTTGAAAATATCACTTTTTACCAAAAATGATAAAAATATTCCCCCAAATTAGAGAATTAAAGATATCATTACAAAATGAACAAATGTGAGAGAGGTCCACACGTAATACCTATATATGTAATAACAAAGCAATTGGACTTGCGGTTTTTAACAAGAAATCGAAAATATCACTTTTTACCAAAAATGAGAAAAAATATTCACCAAAATTAGAGAATTGAAGATATGATCATGAAATGAACAAATCTTAGAGAGGTCTACCCAAGGCAAATATACACCAAGTATCAAAGCATTTAGACTTGTAGTTTTCAAGGAGAAGTCGAAAAAGTAAAACATTGACACGGACGCCAGACGACGAACGACGACGACGGACAATCACTCATATGATAAGCTCCGCTCGACAAAGTCGACAGCGGAGCTAAAAAGTTCAACGTGTTACTTGTTACTGTACACTATATGGCTGTAAGGTTATTGGAAAGAATAAATATCGCATGTCAACTGAATTGAACAGAGAATGGACTCGCCACAAACTGGCTACATGTTTGGACAGCCAAGAAACACTAAGTAAATGTAATTTGAGCATTAACTCACAAAGAGATAAAAATTAAACTTTTTTTAAGATCTACACCTATTTACAGAACCTGAAAAAACAAACTATAAACCAAACACTAAATATTTTAAAATTGAAAACTTCTTCACCACAATCAAAACAGTTTTACATGAAACTGTATGTTTTCTGAGATGTAATCGTACACTTATAATGGCAGTAAGTCACACACAGGGAATGCAGAGAGGAAGCCATAGGTTTACAAAACAGGACATTTGATGGCTGAACAAACACTCAACTTTGTCTAAATAAATTTATTGCATTTTAATAGCCTTTAAACTGTTTAAATATAGTTAGTGTTTATTTATTGATGCAGTGAATGATAGACTTCAGCTGGATATCTCAGATAAAAGACTTGTTGCCTGGTTACAGTGGAATGCTACACTCAGGACTGGTACACAGCAGTTTTTACTTCACCACAATTATTTCACTTCCTATATATACATGTAGTTTAAGATATATTGAAATTGAAGAAATACCTAGGAGCTCATTCACAATATTTCCATTTTTTTTTATTATCAATATTTTGACATTGTTCTAGATTAATTAATTTTATGTAATTAATTTAAGAATTTACAAGTGTGTACAATTATAACATTTTGGTTTCACTTGTGAAGATTTTTACATTAATTTGCTGTATACCAACATATCAAGGTCAAGCAGACATAAGCCATTTTAGAACATTTAAAGTTTTAATATGAGATCATTCATATAGTTTTATTTTTGTCTTGACACTAAGTGAAATCTTTGAAGGTCTGTCTGTATATGCATGAATTACAGAAAATATTGTAATCTGCTTTTGCAGCTTGATGATTTTATGAAGGCAAAATTTTGAGGCAGTCACTGACTTTTCTTGTGAGAAAGCAGAAAATTTGTTACTGGCTACAAAATTGGGATTTTCACAGACTCAAAAAATATAAAAATTAGAGACGAGTACATCAAAACAATCAGTTCTATAAGAAATGCATTTTCAATAGAAGAGCATTTAAACCAAAAATTGTATTTATTGTACACTGAAATATTATAATTAATATAATTTATTTTGAACATAGATATACTTATGTAATTTACAAGCATGCAAGATATATGGGTCTCATATAAACAAAGATGGCGACTTTGACTGTTGCGCAGATCAACAAGTACAAACTGAGACGTTACGAAGCTTTAATTAGGTTTTTTCTAGGTGGTTGGGAGGTATTGAAAGAGTCACCGGCGTCAACTAGTGCAAGTCGTGCCCAGGTCAAACCTTATACTTGGGATTTCCATTAGAAGAGTGCATTGGATTGTGGGAAAATCAATGTTTATCAACAAAAATATCGCACATGTGCAGCGCGACGACAGCTGCCTATATTGTATGAGATGTTTAGTTTTTTTATAATTCAATTTTATGCATACAGTACCTACCATCATTCTGGCTAGTTAAAAATAGTGAGAAACTACTATGGTGAGTAACAAAATATTGAATCAGCATGGCCCAGTCAAAACAAGTAATCTGTACAAACAATGCTCGGTTTTTCACCTGATACACACTAAGGGCAAGAACCTACGCTTTCAGTGAGCTCTGAATGACCGATTTAAGACAATTTATCACTTTAATTTAAAGTAACAACTGTAGCAGTGGAGGTTAAAGGTCAAGACAGTTACATCACAGTTCCACAATTTAATGTCACAACAAACTATGAATCAATTCAGGGGTCATAGGTCGTGACAACCTACTAGCGTATATGGAACTAATTACATGGCATACTTTTACATTCAGCTGAACAACAGAGATTCTTATAATGGTGTCCAGTTATTCCAAAAATATATAGATTATGAGTACATAAAACATTACTAGAATTTTATTTATAATTACAAAACCTCCTCCAGTAAACTAATACAACTCCTCAATTTTGTCTATTCGTATAAGTACCGTAATTCCCAAGTCCAGGGGCCTCAACATGTAAAATCAGGAAAAGTGAGTACACCCAAGAACCACCTCAGAAAAGAGTACAATTTTTTTGGCTCAACATTGTAACCATGATAATTCCTCTACAAATCATCCATTTGTGTTCATCATGTGCCGGATTAGAGGGAATATTATGTATTTTTGAGGAAAATCAAATTGTGAAAAGAGTTGCATCATCATAGATTTTCACAAGCACAATAAAAAACAAGCCCATGCATGGCACAGTCCCCATTAGTTATTAAATTTAAGAAATATAGTTTTGTTTATAGTAATATAGCTGGAATATAACCATGTCAGGAATATGGTTTTTTAACATTAAAATGATTGACATTTGTATCTGATCATCAAACAAGTACTTCAAAATCAGCCATTTTGAATACATGTATATATATCACATGATGTATAACGAATATATAAAATTTGAATATAATCAGTCAAAGCATTTAAGAGTAGGCTCTATAAGCCCAATCATTAAAACAAAATGGCCGCCAGTCAGCCATTTTGAATTCAATCTGAAAAAAAAAATGCCGTGCATCAGGAACCCGTAATGTCTAATATATGTACCAAGTTTGAACGAAATCCATCCATAAATGCCAGAAATGCTTGATATTTGATGATTTTTTAGCACAAAAATGACCACCATTCGGCCATTTAGAATAGGATTGTCAAACCAATGTAACTATTTATCTATGACATGATGTATAATGAATATTTAAAATTTGAACATAATCAGTGAAAGCAAGTCAGAGATATGGCACGAGAACCACATTCATTGAAACAAAATGGCCGCCAGTTGGTCATTTTGAATCTTATCTGAAAAACAAAATTATTTGCATCAAGGTCCCATAATGTCTAATGTATATACTGAGTTTGAACAAAATCCATCTGTAAACACCCGAGAAATGCTTGATTTTGATGATTTTTAGCACAAAAATGGCTGCCATTCGGCCATCTTGAATCAGAGCGTGAAACAAATTGACGTGCATATGTATAATATCATATATGATGTATGTGTGAAGTTTGATTGTGATTGGTCCAGGCATTTCTAAGATACAGGTCCGGACGCACGCACAGACGCACGCACGCACGGAGGTCAAAACATAAGTCCCCGTTTTCGGACTGTGCACTGCCAAGTTGAGGTTGGAAGAATTAGAAATGATGAAGTCTGTACACGCAACTTTAGACGCAAATGACTTATTTGCTTCTAAAATAATGTATCATTCTCGCCCATCATCACATGCACTGTTCTTCCAATTTACATAAACATGGCTTACATGAGAGAAGGGTGCATGCCTCCAGTTACTCACACACCAGTCTGTTTATCTGTCTTAGATGACAATCATACATGACACAGGTATACAGTCAAGAAAACATCATGATGAATGAGCTGAGTTGAGTTGAGTCATTGTCAGAGTAGACTCAAATCTCTGTCATTTCTTTATCATTAGGGTACTGCAATGATCTTAGGATTTTATTTTGTTGATAGTAATATGTGTGTCAATATTATCACTTCATTGTTGATTATGACCACATAGTACAATGTAGTTTATGTTATTTAATCAATTCATTAATTTGACATTCATTTCTTCAAATCTTCAGAGGAATCAGTACAGTACAATCACTACACTATGTACATGGTTTAGTTAAAAGTGTTTATTTTGAACATCTCACCTCAGCATGGAAATTAACAGCCTGACTGTCGGACTTCTGCATCTGAGTAGTTAATTCAGCTATTCTATTGCCGTAATGACTCTTTATCAGCTTCTCTCGACTCTCCTCTTCTGAACTCGATGTGGAAGCCAATGTTTCAAATTCACCAAGCTGAAAATACAAAATCAAGAAAAGAAGATAATTTGCATGTTACATCATGAGGACTCGGAAACTTTCCACATGTTATTTGTATAGGAAACTTTTAACTCGGTTTCAACCATGGTTTCAATTAAATCACCAATATCTAGGTAATACTGTTTCTAATACTGAACATCAAGAACATAAAGCTATCATGCTACATAAAATATAAATATTAATATTGTACTAAGAGACAAAGCAGTTTCTTCATAGAAGTCTATGTGTATTGTAACTTCTGATCTCTGAATTTCTACTAGAAAAAAGATTGTCCTGAGCTAAGAAAAAGGTATAAACTTATTTTTATATCTAATACGAGTTACCGTAGT